AGAGAGACGTTCCACTCGGGGGTGGGGGAGGGAGTGCTTTATGCTAGGCCAGACAGCTGCTGTTTAATCTGGGTGGGATGCAAAGGGACTGTCATAAAGGACACAGGCACAGCGTGAGTGTGACACAGGCATAGAGGTGGTCCCGTGATGTTCCCTATTGGACTGAAACAATCCTAAGTGGATAGAGGGGTGGAAATGTTGCAGGGGGAGGAAATGTCAGTCTTCATGAAGCAGAGAGTCCCTGACTCCCTCGCAGAAAGGCATGGGGTCTTTGTTCCTGGAAGGATGTCCACATAGTGAGGCCACGTATGATGGACTCGACTTCCCTCAGAAATCCTTCTCCACACAAGCCAGCAGGTGATTTTCCTTGGTGACCGTTTACACTGCCGTCCTCCTGCAGTGAGCACCAGGGAATGCCCAACACGTACCCTGCGGCTGTGACATTGGTCACCGGGTGCAGAATAGCCAATGTGTCTTCCCCCGACTTTCTGGAAATACCAGCACTTTTGGATTGTGGCTGAAGGGCTGGGTGCTGGGGAAGCCATATTGTTTCTGGGGGCTCCGCAGCATCTGATCCGGCATTAAATAAACACTGCGTTAATTATGGGGCTGCCAACTTACTCCTGTCTAGTGAGTAGCAGGAGAGGGGCAAAATGGGAAATGTGTAGCTAAGTGCCTTCAGACACACCCATTTTCTGCCCTTACCTCGCTCTTAAGAATAGAGGAGCTGTCATGCAGTGGGTCTGAAACTCACTTCCACTCAATGAGGCCTATGCATAGTGCTTATCCTTGCCATTGCAAAGCCTCCACTGTCACTTGTGCTGTTCTCTGTATATGTCACGTTAAGCATTACATCAGTCTGATAGTAACAGAACATCTCTGTTATTTCAACCCCCGACCATTTTAAAGGGAGGCAGAGATCTATGTCATCACCTAGAATGTTGCACTGGTAGAGAGACAAAATAAGCAGGGCAACGTTGAAAAAAACAAACCTGCCTCTGCCAAAGCAGGAGACGAACAATCATCTCTTGTTTGTTTGGTCGTCGTTCTGGTTTGGGAATGTATACGTTAAGAAACAGAGGCACGACCAGTTGATCTGAGCATAGGGAGCTGAAACAGAAACTGGTGGGTTCTAATCCTCACTTGGACACAGTTTTACCCTGTGACCTTGGTCACGTCATGTACCTTCTCCATGCCTCAGTTTCCCCATCTGTGAAATGGGGATAATAGCACTTCTCTGCCTCACAGAGGTGTGAGGAAGATTAGTTGGTCATGTTTATAACGTGCTTCAGATGTGCTATCTCAGGGCTAAATACTTTATTCCTTAATTTTGTGCTTTACCCTTCTCTGTTCCTTCAGTTGCTAAATGCAGAACTGGCTGTTGCTGCTTATTCTGAGACGTACTAAAATGCTGAAAATTACACACCCGGTGTTTAGGTATAAATAGATATTTTTGCACAGGAGGATATTTTACATATGCCTATTTATGATTGGAAACTTGAAGGCAGGACAGATCTGTTGAGGTAGGAGGCACTAACATGTGCTCTTGCTTGTCTTTTTCCAGTCTGTTTAAAAAAAAAAATAAAACAACCCTCAATGCTTGTGTTACCCTGCCTCTGAGCTCACTATTTTTATTCTGGGAGTTGCATATGTAAAGCCTCATCCGTTCTTGCACAGCCTCCAACCTCCCGTTTACTGAGAAGGTGGGGTTGGGCAGCTCCAGACATAAAAATGAACAAATCACTGGCTTATGCATTTCAAAACCATTTGCCTTTGGACAAAGAACTTGCCTGGAAAATTTCACCCTGATATGAGAAGGTTTCAGGAAGCTATTAGTGACTGAAAATAGGGGGTTATTGTGGAAATACTTGTATATCCTTAACTATATAGTTATCACCAACATTTCAGCTATTAAGTATCAGAGAAAAGGCTTGTGATTTGCTTCTGTTTATCCTGCTTCATGTAACATGAGAACTAGGGAGCATGCAGTGAAATTATTAGAAGGCAGCAAGATTAAATGCAAATAAAATGAAATAAATATTGACACAATGGATAGTTAACTATGGAACTCAAGGTTGCAGGATGTTATTTAGGTGCAAACAGCTTAGTTTCAAAAGAGAAGTAGTCATCAAGCTAAGAGTAGCTATCAAAAATTACTGTGTTGTCATGAACCAAGGAATAAATTGGTCAGTAGCTGTTGTCAGGAACAATTTTACCCTGTGATAAATAGTATTGAAAAATATATTGTGGGATGTTTTACCGAGATGGCTGCTTTATGTGGCATGAGCTACTGTCAGAGACAGGATACCAGGGTGGTTGCACCCTAATTCCTTTCTGTTATGTCAATTCCTATTGTCATATGATGTGTGTGAAAAGACGTAGAATGCATGGAAAAATGGCTTTTCACGTTCTTCGTCGCTCTCTTCATTGGCGGTGACACTGTTTGCTTTGAAGGGCAAAACAGGTTAATCAAGAGAAGCTTCACTTTTAATGAAACAGTGCAACTGATTATTAAAAGCAAATGGAGTATGAAAATTGAACTGCCAAAAACTCATTTCACTCTGCAGAAGAGCAGTTTAGCTTTCTTTCCATGGTGTGTCTATATCCCATTTGTCTCTGGGGAGAAAGGGTATTTTAAGTTAAGAGTGGGGGATTGTTAAAAGTGTTTAAAATCGATGATTATGAATAGAAATTTGGTTTGGGAAAAAACATCCTTGTGGGATGGTTATTTCAGTGCTTTGCATTGGTCTCTTGTATCTAGAATAGGTGTTTGTAATAAAACATGGAGAGCTTTGGTGAAGCCCTCACCCCTCTGTCCCTAGCAGTCTAGTGAGAGCATGGGATGCTGCCATGCCTAGCACCTCAGCAAAGTAATGAGACTCAAACTACAGTAACTGCAGGCCCTTCATTGCTGCATGGGATTTCTGAATAGGACACAGAACTACACCTTCCTCTGTTGGACAAGGCATCCCTTTGGTCCTTTGGTCGTCTGGTTTTATCTTCTCTACCCAATGGAAAGAGTGGAGTACGCAGAGTCTTAGCCCACATATCGTGGACCAACTCTGCAGAGTACAGCTGAGTTCTCTGCCCAGCCCTACAGACTTTAAACCACCTATAACCCACCTACAAATGCAGGTGGAAACATCCCACTGAACTGATTTAATTGGGACAGCATCAAATTCCCAGGGAGTAGACCCTATGCCACCATGAGAGTTCAAGTTTAAGACCATTTTTTCCACTCCCTTTTTGGATCAAAAGAACCCCAAACCTTGCATACAGGGAGGTGTCCTTCACTTACTTCTCAGTGGAGTTACGCCAGGGATGAATTTGGTCCCAAGTCTATCATTAAACTCCCCAGTGGGGAGGGAGCAGAATGCATGCGAAGAAGTGACTTCTACCTGTAGAGCGACTGGTATTCACTGCAGCAAATTAAACTCACTGTCTTCTGTTCCATGTTCCCTTTCCACTACACATGCCTAAAACAGATTTCCTGTCCAATAATATTGTTGCCAGAGCTTAGCCTGCCCCTTGCTGTTCCCATTCACAAGCAGTTAATGGGCATTACAGAAAGGTATTCCTGAGATGTTCGCCTTGCTCTAGAACCAAAATACCTTTTAAATAGGGCTTGTTAGTTGATTTCCCTCCCTCCTGGCTCAGGTCTATTGCTTGCATCTTACGTTACTCTGTGGAGTGGGCTCTCTGGTCCACTTTGAGTTTGCTTACAGGTCTGTGTGTATTACAATAACTGGCAGACAGTGGGGCGAGACAACTTTCAGATGCTGCCCCTGCAATCCTACTATTGTGCACAGCGTGAGATTTGGGTAACATATCGTGACTGTTAATGAAGACAAGTCACGTACCGGTATCAAAACAAGATGCACTTGGTCACATCACAGCTTTAAAGCATTGTGAGCCGCACAGCCCACCACTGGCCTAGATCCAAATATGGGGCAACACGTGCGGCAAAGACACCAAATGAGGGACACTAGAAGAGGAAGCTTGAAATGCCAGTGGCTTGAGCTCTGTAGAACATGCAAAGCTTTCCACTGTCGCTGTTGCTTATTCATTGCTGATATACAGTGAGATTACACCACATTTGAGCAGAATGGATGTACACTGAACTCTGATGCAGGTGGTTTTTCTCAGGTCAAATGAGGCAGAGTTGAGAAGGGTTGTGTCTTGAAATAACCAAACTCCAGAATCTCTGATCTGTTTTAGCTTCCCCTCCCTAGGAGACCCAAGAAAATGATGCTCTTCTAACACCGATTGGCTTGTCACCGCCCTTTAGCCTGGCAGTACTCCAACTCAGAAGTTGCACTCCATGATCCTTTCGAAGATTGGGACACACCTGTTCACAGCACCTTCCTTATAAACTTTGATTAACAGTCATAATCTTCTGAAGAAGCTTTCATTATAGTTGTCTGATGTACACACTATCTCGTTAGAATTTAAAGCAAAAAAATATTCAGTGACTTACCGCTCAGTCTTACAAACACTACCAGGTTACCTGCTTACTAACTGGGAAAGTCCAATTAACATCAACAGAGAAATTCTCTTCATGTTAATTTTTGTATTATGGTAGCACCTAGAAGCCCCAACTGAGATCAGAGCCCCATTGTGCTGGGCAGTGTACTCATGTATGGTAAAATACTGCCCTGGCCCCAGGAACTTACAGTCTAAATAGACAAGACAAAGGGTGTGAGGTGAACAGAGCTGAAGTGACTTGCCCAAAGTCACACAGCAGTGAAAGAGCCAGAAACAGAACCAGTCTCCAATGTTTTAGCTACAGATGGCGCTTCCTCTGCTGCCGTTTCGTGAACTCAGGCCCTTGGTGACAAGTAATTAAGTAGAGCCAGAGAGCACAAGACTAATGTAAAAATGACAGCAGGTGATTGCCAAGATTGCAATTGTGACCTAAAACAAAGAAATCTACCAGCTTTACTTTCCAGCTGCATTAGAACTCGCCTGTTTTATTGATTTGTTTTGCGTTGCCTTTTCAGTATCTCTTTTTGGTGCGGAATGAGATGACAGTTTCCCAGAAGCACCTGGGGGAATTCTGTAGCTCCCTTAAGCAGTACCTGAAGCATGTGGCAGGACAGAGGGACTGTTTCCAGTAAGTATGATTCTCCACCTCTCTGAAGGAAAATGGGAGTAACTGTTTCAAAAAATGAATCTCCTCAAGTTTAACATATAGCACCACTGTTGCCTTAGCTACTCAAATGCCTACCGCTTTGCCAGTTACAAATGGCACATACTGAACACAGATCTAGGGTTAGTCTAGATATAGCCCCAGCCAAAATCCCGTCATCCTCAAAATTGGGCAAGATGAGGCAAGGACAATTTGAAATCCAAACCTGGATCGGTATCTAGATTATGTCTTCGTAATGGATCCACCTAAAACCCCAGATCAGAAACCTCACAGTTTAAAAAAAGAAAAGGAGTACTTGTGGCACCTTAGAGACTAACCAATTTATTTGAGCATGAGCTTTCGTGAGCTACAGCTCACTTCATCGGATGCATACCGTGGAAACTGCAGCAGACTTTATATACACACAGAGTTCATAAAACAATACCTCCTCCCACCCCACTGTCCTGCTGGTAATAGCTTATCTAAAGTGATCATCAAGTTGGGCCATTTCCAGCACAAATCCAGGTTTTCTCACCCTCCACCCCCCAGCTATTACCAGCAGGACAGTGGGGTGGGAGGAGGTATTGTTTTATGATCTCTGTGTGTATATAAAGTCTGCTGCAGTTTCCACGGTATGCATCCGATGAAGTGAGCTGTAGCTCACGAAAGCTCAGGCTCAAATAAATTGGTTAGTCTCTAAGGTGCCACAAGTACTCCTTTTCTTTTTGCGAATACAGACTAACACGACTGTTACTCTGAAACCTCACAGTTTAAGTGTGCTCAGATCTGAGACAAATGTTTCCATCTGAGTCCTCCTTCAATGTAATCCAATCACTACTGTGCTGGCCTGTGTGTGCAGCAGTTTACATTAGTCTGAGCCATAGGGGTCGTGCATCAGGGATGTTGGCCCACAAAGGAGAAGTGTGGGTTCTAAACAGTGTCGGGTACATCGTTCACTATGCACGGGGATAAGGGCATGTGTCAGCACCTCTCAGAGGGCAGAAAAAAGCAGTGAGAGTTAGGCGCCCTTAGCTGAAAGCACAAGACCCAAAGCAGAGTCAAGGGAAGCCATGTGCTCTACAGCTGCATTGGGTAGTGGCTTTCCTGTGCAATTCTGAGGTCACAGAAAGTGCTGTGGCTGTACGTGAAGTCAGTGAATGGAAGCTCCTGGAACAGACTTGCTAGCTCATTCGAAGCCAGGTTTTCCTCTTCCCCCCCCAAACAGAAAAGTCAGACCCAATCCCTGCTCTTATCGGATGCAGCTAATCTCTCCTCAGGCCTTGGCCAGATAATCTTGATTGTCTGTAGTTTGCCCCCCACTCAATTATTTAACGCTCACGCTTCTAAGGAAGATACAGCCACACTGTAACACAAGCTCTGTGTTTCAGGCTTAGAGGGAGTGGAGTGATAGTGCAGTAGGTTAACAGCTAGCTGTTTACACGGTGTGTTGGTTCATTCTGGGGGCTGGGGGTGATGGAGGCTTTTGACTCATGGGCAGTCTCAATGGTGGACTCAGACAGAGGCTACAAGCTCATGCACCCGTGAGAGGGAGAAATCCTGAATCCACCATCCAATCACTGTGCTGTGCAGCCTTCGGTCCTGCTTCTGAAAGGTGCTGAACATTCCAGTATCTGATTAATCGTCATTACTTTCATGTCTGTGTCTGACATAGGGAGCTGGGATGTGTTGCACTTCTGGCAGCTGAGTGTCCTGCTGCCAGTGAGTTTCATGCAAGCTGACAAGTCATCGCTTGGCGCTCCCAATCCAGTGGTGTGGCTGGAATAGGTAATCTTGCACAACATATATGTGTGTGTGTTTGCTTTTGATTTCTCTCTCTCTCTCTCTCTCTCTCTCATCCCTTTCAGTGTAACTGCAGTGAGGCTCCCGGATGGAGTCACTTTCATCGTCTATGAGTTCTGGGAGACTGAGGAGGACTGGAAGAGGTAGGGTAGCAACATTTAATCTTACAGGTTAAAAAAATTATACATCAGAGATGGGCCTGACCTGCAGATTGCGGGTGATCCAACCCCTTTGGTCTTGGTTTGGGACCCTCCCTATTATATATATATACACACACACACATACAAATATTTCATACTACATGGGAATCTTTTCATAGCAGCATCTCAAAGTTCATGGTTGCTGCAATGGTATTTGACGTTCATTTTGCTATTCATTTGGTTGGATGGGAACTGTTTCAAGCCTAGGTTTTGTGAGACAACCCTGCAATAGCTAAGGTCTGTTGAGCTGAGAGCCAGACAAGTGCCCTGGCCCACCATCCCCTCGAGGCAGAAGTGCTGTGGCCAGGAGAGGCAGCAATAAAACTTACCCTTTAGAAACCGAGGGATGGAAAGGATGAGAGCAGCAAGAGTCTCATGGGGAGAGAAGTTAGGAAAGGGAGCTTCAGTGGCAGGAGAAGGCTTAAAAGAAACAACCCACTTATTCCTCTTCCTTTTCCACCGATTCTTGTGCTTCCTCTCAGAACACGTAAGCCCATCCCTGGCTGCGTCTGACTCTAGTGTGAGTGGTTTGGTAGAGGTGAGAGAAATGGCAGAGGGGAGGGGATGTGTATTTGTTTGGTTGGTAGGTTTCCTTTCTCTCCTCCACATATTGAGTAAAGCACTGTAGATGAGGGGAGCGTGACTGAGTTTCAGGGTGAGGAGGAGTTTGATCAGAGCAGAGGCTGATAGCTCTAGCACCTCAGACAGGCTTGTGCATCTACGTTCTTTGTTATTGCACAGTTTAAGCCCATTTTCCCAATCAACGTCCTTTCAAGGATCTGTTCCTACAAGATCCTGGTGGGAAATGTACAGAGCAGTATGCAGATGGCCAGCTGTATCTTTCAGCTGTATCCAGAAAGGAAAGATGGAGCTGTGCTTCTATTTACGTACAGTTAAAATTAATCATACTACGTGATGGAGAGTTAGGTCATTGAAAAGAGCCGTATATAGATAGCGCTTCCTATCAGAGGAACTCCAAGCACTTCAGAAAAGTGGGGATCCTCCCCGTTTCGCACATGAGGAAGGTAAGGTTCGGCAAGTGAGTCCTGAGGAGGACAGGTCTCTGCTGTCCGAATGCAACGTATTCCCCTGTGTGCCATGGAACTCAGAGCTTGATCTGGTTCCCTTGCTAGCAGGGGCTCGGGGAGCTGTGGAGGCAGCATGCTCAGCCTTGAAGAGGAAGGTGAATCTTGTTGTAGTCTTTTTGAGCACTAAGGGGTGACCCATCAGCTAGAAAAATGTACTGGCTGCATTGCCATATATTGGGCACATATCTGGTGGTCATCACCAGGGTGGATGTAGATGCTTGAAGTTGTGCTGTTTTTCTATATCACATACTGTTTAAACATTATTATCATAAAATCTCAAAAAGGGCCTGTGACTGGTTCAGTCACAGATACCCTCTTGGGACTGTCACCTGATGTGCTGAATTTACCTCTGAGCCCATTTTCCCTGCCAGCTTGGGATTTCAGAACCCTGTCTTGTTGAGCCAGACATGCTAGCCTGCTGCAGACACAGACCCAGGTCTGGTCCATGCCCCCAGCGCTGCAGACTTTAACCAGAAACTGCTCAGCAAGTCACCTATCTCCAGCACCCAGACACCCAGGTGCCAATAGGATCCAAACCCCAAATAAATCCGTTTTACTCTGTATAAAGCTTATACAGGGTAAACTCATAAATTGTCTGCCCTCTATAACACTGATAGAGAGATATGCACAGCTGTTTGCTCCCGCAGGTATTAAACACTTACTCTGGGTTAATTAATAAACAAAAGTGATTTTATTAAGTATAAAAAGTAGAATGTACATGGTGTCAAGTAATAACAGACAGAACAAAGTAAGTTACCAAGCAAAATAAAACAAAACATGCAAGTCTAAGCCTAATACATTAAGAAACTGAATACAGGTAACTCTCACCCTTAGAGATGTTCCAATAAACTTCTTTCACAGACTAGGCACCTTCCTAGTCTGGGCCCAATCCTTTCTCATGGTACAGACCTTGTTAGTTCCAGCAGGCATCTTAGATGAAAAGCAGGGGCTTCCACATGACTGGGTCCCTTTTGTTCTGTTCCGCCCCCTTTTATATCTTTGGCACAAGGCGGGAATCCTTTGTCTCTCTCTGGGTTCCAACCCCTCCTTCTAAATGGAAAAGCACCAGCTTAAAGATGGATTCCAGTATCATGTGATATGTTCACATGTCCTGTGAGATTTCATTACCCACACACTGGCATACACACATACAGAAGGCTTACAAGTAAACAGAGCCATCTACAACCAATTGTCCTAATTAATGGTAGCCATCAGGATTCCAAACCACGGTTAATGGCCCACACTTTGCATACCTACAATAGGACCTCAGAGTTGTATTTCATATTCCTAATTTCAGATACAAGAATGATACATTCATACAAATACAATGACCACACTCAGTAGATTGTACACTTTGTAATGATACCTTACAAGAGACCTTTTGCATAAAGCATATTCCAGTTACATCATATTCACACTTATAAACATATCTTTATAAAACATATGGAGTGCAACATCACAGGGCCACAACTCAAAGAAACATAGGCTAATTTTGCCCAAAATTGGCAGAAAGCTTCTAAATACAATTGGTAATGCAACTATGTACTCAAAAGAGTAGTGGTTTTGGAAAGTTTGGGAAATATTTAGCCTCAGGTGATATATTTTATTCATTTTCCTGTACTTTTTTGCCTTTGTTTAAAGCAAAAGTCTGTAGTCACGTGACAGTATGAGCTTGTTTGAGCCAGGTAATACATCAAAATATTTGTCATTATTTGTAGAATGGACTGTTCTGAGAAAGTTTGTGTGTCTGTTATTTTTATGAAGTTATGCAGATAAGACCCTTGACCCTGAATTATAAAACATATTTTTATGGGAGACACAAGGTGGGTGAAGTAATATCTTGTATTGGCATAGACTTTTTGTTATCGGTTTGGCCAGAGACATAAGTCTGAAGCACACATGGTACAATTGTAATGATCTTCTAGCATGGAATACAATACATGTCAACATGTTATAAATCCGTAATGACTCTTAATAGAAGGGTTGTAGAATGTCTTGCATGACTATGTTGTGTGACTAACAAAGTATAACTACGTACTCTTACGTAACCCCCTACATAGAACTATGAGCTACTGAATGTCTAATGCAACACCCCTTTGAGCTATATTTACTCACAAAAATAGTCAGTAATTTGTAGATATTTGAAACATTTCTACACCCCCTCAGAATCTGTGTCTGGTGCATTCAGTACTCCATTACTACACTTGTCACTGTTGTATGCATCAGAGCACACCAAACCTTCCCTCGGGCATTTGCATCTCCTTGTTGCACAAGTGCTCTCACAGCCACACTGCACAAAGGTGAGGATGGCTCCTGGCGCAGGGGGCATCACCATCATTTTAAGAACAAGCTGCCCCATGGTATCTCTCACCCGTTCCTTGTTAACAGGGGACACTTGAGGAGACTGAACTGTTGTAGGATTCCATAGGCCTAACTGATAGTTTGCACATTTCAGGTGCTGCCTAAAGGAGGGCATTGTTAGTGGAAGTTTCTCACTTGTGTTGTTCTTAGCAAACAACCTGTGGCCACATTAGCTGGAGATGCTTGCTTCTTGCCACAACACAATAGAGATACCAGCGAGATATTGGCTGCTGACCCTGAAGTTACCTACCTTCCAATCTTGCTAGTGATACTAAGCAAGGATTACTTGATTCTGCTACTGCTTGGCTCTTCATTAACTCTCGGGTTAGGTCAGGTCTGCCCATGACATGAATTGAAAGTAATGGTCCTAATTTATAAACCCATCGACAGACAGAGACGTGGTCACCTGCTAGAATGTTGTACCCACTTTGATATATGACCATGGCTGAGTTTTTCTGCTCTTTGCTCACACTGTCGATAACGAGAGCAGGCTGATAAATGACAGCATGCAGTTAGGTTACTGACACACCGTAGCTGAAATTTCACGTGTTCTTGGGATGGGGAAGAAATCTTTTCTTTTGCACCAAGCTAGGGAAAGCACGAGCAGTATTCACACAGACTGTATCTACCTCACTCGTCTTCCCTTGACCTCGCAAATAAAAGCTCCCAAACTCCACAATCTAGGCATTATTAGATTTTCCCTTTGGAATGATGAAGTGGTGCTGTTGTGAGCAAGCCAGGGTCTGCTAACAGGCCCAAGGACACACACAGGCTGCTGTTCAAAGTGCTCGAAAGTTCATAGAGTCAGATGGGCTTGGAGACTGGTATGCTTGTACCTTTTTTCATTTGCAGACCCCTAAACATTTCAAATGGAAATCTTAGACATCTCTGTGGACCCCTAGGGGTCCGCGGAACAGGGGGTGAAAACCACTGTGCTAGAAGAAGGGTGTGGGTACTATTTGTGGTGCAAATTTGGGGTCGTGGTCAAGGAGTACCTGAGCGATAGCGCCCTTCCCCTACCGGCCCATGACCTGTGTTTAAAGTGCTGTAAAATGCAAATGCACAGCCAGAGAACTGGATGCCAGTTTAAGACCCAGAGTTGTGTCTGAGGTACAAGTTTGGGGTCATTTGGTGATTAGAACCTCTCCTTTCTCCTGACTTGTTTTTACAATGGGGCAAACTGCCCCGGGGACTCCAGTACAGTGGTGCTGGAACAATTTTTGTAGTGGGGGGAGGGGGCTGCTGCTGATGGTGCTTGTTATTTCTACTTCAAGCCAGAGGGTGCAGCAGCTTCCCTAGCCCCTGCACCACCGCTCCGGTAGTGTTTTGGGTGGCTGTCCAGACAGAGCTGATGCAGCAGGCGTGCAGTGCTGAGCTGGGGCCTGAACTGAGAATGAGCGTGCTCAGTACATGCCACGTGACAGATGGGTAACGCTGGGTTAACTCCCCCTTCAGCTTGCTGAGAAGGGATTTGAACCTTCATCGCTTCCATCT